TCTATGCCTACTTTCTGCAGGGTTTTTATCATAAATGGGTGTTGAATTTTGTCGAAAGCTTTCTCTGCTTGATGGCCCTATTTTTAATCTAGTGTGTACCTCAGTCCAGTGGAGCAACCTCTGCAGTAAAAGTACCAGTGGCTTTTAAGCATATGTTAGCATGCCTCTGTGAGAAATTTGCAGCAGTGTGCACACTGCACTTCTGTCTTATATCCTTACATAAATAGGAGGTCTGTGACTTGATATTGAAATGACCTTTCAGGCAGGATCCCAGTGCCACATGCCTGAACTTGTGTCTCAGAATAATTAGAAGCTTTGACTTACACATCTTGGTATACAGTGTTTATGTTAATTATAAATGTCTGAAAGTTTCCTGAAACTTTGTCTTCATAGCTTTTTATCAAAGACAGACTGGAGTTTGGGAGGAGGGTTGTGGATTGTGGTCCTAAGCCTTTGATTTTCAGGCTCTCATATTTGGAATGAAAATTAAAATCTACATTTCGAGTTGCCCAGAACATGGTAGTGTATTTTTATATTTTTCATTGCGAATAGGAAACTGTTTGGAATCATAGTCTTTGATACTTTTAAAATAATATTTCATTCTTAAGACATTTAGCTAAAAATTTCCAGTAGACTATGGGTTGCTAAATATAAAGGTATTCCCACTGACTTATAGGAAAAGCTCAAAATATTATAATTAAAATTGAGAAGTTCCTATCGTACAAAGGGATGCTTCTCCACGATTGTTTCTAAATCAGACCTCAGAATTTCTTTTCCCATGGTGATTAGCCCTGTCTCCAGAAGCTGACCCTAGGCCCGCCAATAACAGTCATTTCATTTTAACTCCCTCTCTTCATATTCCATATTCAAAGGCCAGTTTATAAGAAAATGCTTCGTAACCATTCTGGAAGAAACGATTGACTCCTATTTCACTATCTAGACAAGCTGTGGAATAGGTTCCTATATATTAGAGAGAGGAGCAATAAGTATCCACAAGTTCCTCTGAAAGTCTAGTCTCTGAAGTGGGGACTCTGATCCCACTTTAGCTTGTGACCCTCAGCAGTCCTACAGGCTCTGGTCCACTCAGAGGTCCCCATAGTTTAGTTCTGAAGCCCCCACTCCTTCACCCCTCCTGCCTGCCCTAATTGTCATACACAACCTGCTCTTTCCATTAAGGCTTTGCCCAAGGAGCCAAACTGTTAGGCCAGCTATAAACATAAGTACTTTTTGTACATACATTTCATTCTGAAGAGTATATTCAGATATTAATGCAAATAAAATTTGTATCTAATTTGTACCATCTCCTTCAGGAAATTAGATATACTAAATCTATAGACCGTATAATTTAAGCTTTTGAAATTTTAAAGATATGAAGATTGCTAGGCAACATCTTGCTCTCAGATCTTTTACAGGAAAAGCCTGAGATTAGGTCAGGCTGTACCATCTGCATTGCTGTTGATCTGAAAACCACAGAGGAAAGGAGATGTAGAAACTTAGTTGTGGCAACTCAGAACTTCATGTTCTCATCATTCCTTAACCTCCAACCCCACCCCAGCTCCTCGGCTGGAGAAAAATACCATGATATGCATCAAGATTCACCTTTGGGTTCCATCACGAACATAATTTTCCCTGATGCCTGCCCCTGCCCCTGTCTGCTCACTGCTCACGTACACACCACAGAGTAGGACAGTGGGTTGGAGAGACTTCTGAGAAGTCCTGCTGTCATTCTCCATGCTACTACCTCTTTTTTTCTTAAATGGGTACTTTTATTTCTTTAAAGATACCATTTCCCCCTCCACTTCTTCATTAATTTTCAGAAGTCAATAAAGTCAGAATTCCCTGACTTCTTTTCTACCCCTAGCTCTAATCCATAGTTTCTTAACTTGGGCCTTACTGACATCTTAGACTGGGTAACTCTTTGCTGTGGGACTGTCCTGCGTACTGTAAAGTGTTGGGCACTGTCTCTGGCCTCCAGTAGACGCCAGTAGCACCCTCCCACACCACATGTCCCCGGGGGGGCAAAACTGCCCCTTGTTGAAAACTGCTGTTCTAATCTATGTGGGATACAAATTTTCAAACACTTCAGTGGGTACATAGCATGGGTTGTGTATTTTTTTTAATTTTGTTTCTTTATGATCTGATTCTTTCCTGTTCTGTTCATTATGATATTTTTAAAATGACTATAGCTTTTTTTCTATTCAAGATTCTTTTAAAGAATAAGAATATGAAAGTCTTCTATGCCCACCATCAGGCTAGACCCTAATGCTTTGAGTGGTATGCACAGTAATTAATTCATACAAGGTATTTTTGTTATTAAATCCTCCAAATTTACACAAAGACATTCTGTGTGTGTGTGTTTAAAAATGAAAAAAAATGTATAGGAAGATAATTTTTCACCTTGAGAAGTATAAATGTTACTTAAGAGGAATCACAATTTAGATGATAAGAAAGGAAAAATCTACATTTAAGTATTACAGAGGTTTGTTAAGAACTTTCCTGAATAAAATGCTCTGCTTAGTAGATGTCTGAGCTTAAGGACTCCAGTAATTAAGTTAAAAGTTTTCAGTGAAAGAATACCGAACATTTGTAGAATTTGAGTACAGACTGTAGTCACTCCTGCAAAATACGAAAAAACAATATGCTTCTACTTTTTTAAAATACAACTTAGAATCTCCCAAAACGGACAGTCTTTCATACTCTGATACGTAAAGTGCTCCTGCATTCCCAGACCTGAGCTGCACAGGAAGGAAGACCTTAGGCCTAAACTGAAGCCAGAGCCTGGCCTGAAGATGAGCCTACAACCACTGTGGAAAATCTCCCCAACCAGGTTCTACAGATCTACAGGGACAGTTGAGGGGGAAGGTGAATGGAAGTTAAGTGAGTCATGGCTGAGGAAGGGATGTCATTCAAGTGTTCACACCTACATTACCTGTCTACCTCCTGTCCTAGACCTTAAGGAAGCTTTGGGCTACCGGGCACATCCCTTCTCTGACAGCAGAGCCCTGCTATTATTAGGAAAACAAAAGCAGACGTCAGTGAATGCTGTTACACCAGCCTGTGGACAGACTTGCTGTTCTCTTGCATCTCACAGAAGCATTCCTTTGGCTCCTGCTCTGCTCCATCTCTATAGGATTAAGAAGTAAAACATTCCATTTCATTTCACCACTGTGTGTTTGCTGACTAGCTGTTCAGTTTGCATGCCCAATAAGACAGCCTGATGAATACTTACAGAGTAAATTAAGACTTGTTCACAAAGTTCCAGCATTTTAGAACTAGGGGAAATTTGGGGAAATAAAAGAGTAACTTTAGGGCCCCCCAGAGATATAATTTATAGAGTGGATAATTAATGTAGAAGCTTGTTACTCTAGCAGTTAGAACTAATTTAAAAAGGGAGTCAAAGGTAGTTTAAATTCATGAGTGATGGAGGATCTATGGAGTATTATCTAATATTCAACATTTTTGGTGAAATTTAGGCTCTCGAGCTCTACATGGGTCTTCTGAATGAATCTCCTTTGAAAAGATGTTTACCTTTGACTTCTTTCTTTTTTCTTCTCCTTGTTCGTTCATTCCTTCAACAAACATTTATTGCATGTCTGCTATGTACCAGACACTGCAAATTGTCTCCCTTCTTAGCTTTCTTCACTCTTTTAGGGGGAGGGGTGTGGGATGGAGTTGGTGGCTTTAAATTATTTTCTGTAGATAAAAGATTAGGAGTCTTTTTAGAGTGAGCAAATCAGAGTTGCAGGATGTCCTCAGGGCCAAGTAGAGTTCATACACGCTTATGCTTACTAGCATATTCATGAGTGATATAGATATATATATATATATATATATATGTATGTATATATATATATATATATATATACGCCAGATATATATATATCTGGCAGCCAGTTAGCTCTGAGTCTTAATCTTCCATTGATGTAAAGAGCAGATTTGGAGGAGACGAAAGAGAATTAGAAAACACTTTCTCCTTCCTTGCCTGTCTACTAAATTGCCAAGACCACGTATTTGGAGGCTGGAGAGCAGGAAGTCATATTTTACTTTCTTTCCAATGCATCCTATTCATAATTATCATCTAACACCATGGTGGCCCCTGTAGACCCAAGGGAAGAAAGGTCTTGGGAGCTGGGAAGAGTAGAGCAGTTGAAAGACAGAAGTTTCCAGTTCATTTATTCACAAATGTTTATTAAGCTCCTCCTACGTGCCAGGAAAATGTACCTGGTACAGGGGTTCAGTAATCGAGAGCAACCCTGTCCCTTCACTTCTGGGGCTTCCCATCTAGCAGAGAAACCAGACCTTGAGCAAGAGCATAGGAAACATCTGCCTGTTCCACAGTGTTGCCTGGGGCTCAGCCTTGGAGTGCCCTGCAGAATAATCTCTGTAGGCTGCTGACCTTGTTCTGTAAACATGAGGATGTGTACAAGAATCATAGGGCAGGGAGAAACACCCAGCTGCGTTTTGGTGTGAATGTAATTATAGTATTCACCTTATGCTGCTAGTTATTCTTCAAAAATATTGCTCCAAGAAGTAAGAATTAAAATGAAATGCGTATGTAATAAGACAGCAAAAGATTGGGATATGGACTCTATCTCGAGACCATCTAAATATCTAGAAGCTATTTAGCAGTGGGTCATGTAGCCAAAGGCAGAACCTGTGTATATCAAAAGAGGAAGAGCTTTTTAGAGAGTTCACTAATAACTCTTCCTGTGAACTGTAACCATTTTCTAGTTTGAAAAGAAGGGGGTTCCTCTTATAAACTAATTACTGAGGCAATATGATTACTGACACTTTAGGATAGAAAATGGAAATAAGAACGTGGTGAGTTAAAGCATGCTCGTCAGATTCCTTGAATGATTTGGTAATATAAATGCTATAAATTTAGATGCTCAAGAGGGCTTCAGTAAAAAATGAATGTCGCTTGAAAAACAGTTCAGTCATCAGATCATTCTATAGCAAATTTATAATTTGAGGTGTTTCTCTCTTTGTCCCCCTTTTAGCTTGTCAAAATCCCTAAAAATGATCCCCCCAACGAAGTGCATACCTTTAACTTCTATTTGTCAAATGTGGGTAAAGACAACCCTCAAGGCAGCTTTGACTGCATCCAGCAAACCTTCTCCAGGTAAGTGCGTTCCAAGGTATGCTGAAGGGAAAATGACTTTTCTTTGAGGGTTTTCTTTTTAATTCTACAATAAAATACATGGTAGTCATTCCGTAAATATTTACTGACTTGAATGGTAGGGCTCATTTATTTATTTGAGAAATATTGAGCATTATATTTGTCACTGTAGGATACAATCACAAAAATTTTAAGATTCTTGCCCTTGAGGAATTTTTAAAGTATAGATTTTATACCTATAAAACATGGTTTATTTTGTTTATTTTAATTAAAGACAAGTTTGAGGGGTTTTTTAATTTTTATTCACTGAATATAAATAAGAGTGCTTTATAGTATCCTCAGGACTCACACTCATAGATAAAGGAGGAAAATATACGTGTGTCTTATATATCCCCTTCCTCCTTCGCTGTGCAAGGCTTGTTTTAAGATAGGTTTTTAAAAATCTTTACTCTGCAACAGAATGGAAACTAGAAATTAACCCCAGTATAGAAGTCATTTCTGATTTTCAGGGGGAAAAAGGAGGGAGGAAGACAAAAATACACACCCATATACCCACTGGAACCCTTATCTACTTAGGTCCTCTGTAAACACTAAGCTACTTGTTTCACTCTTCTTTGCTGTGGTTGTTTCTGATTAAAGAACAGCCCCTCGTAGGAGTTTGTTCTGCCTGTGGATAAAGACAAGGCCTTAGAGCCCCCAACCTCCAGAGAAACACTGACATTGGCCGAAAGTTCCCCAAGGCCCCCAGGGCCGTCCATCCCTATCTCTCCTCTGTGTCGTACTTGAAACTTTAAGTGCTTGCTGTGTGTGGGAGAAAGGAAGGGAAAGTTGTGTTCCAAGTAAGCAGGGAAGGCAGAGATACAAAATAAGACACTTCACTGAGAGAGGTCTAAATTTCTTCTACCATTTAAGGCGACTAAATTACTTTTTGCTTTATCTTAATCTGCCATTTTCCCTGAGTATATGTTAATTTTGCTTTCTAAAAATTGCCTTCCCCCAAACTTACATTTTTTGGTATAAATTGCATGTGTTTTAGACTCTGTAGACTTTTCTGCACTGTCCACGGTGATAGCCACTGACCACATGGGGCTATTTACATTTCAATTGATAAAAATGAAATAAAATTTAAAATTTAGTTCTTCACTCATACTAACTACATATTATAGGCTAAATAACCACATGGCTAGTGGTTCTCATAGTGGACAGCACAAACACAGAACATTTTAAATTGCAGAAATTTCTGTGGGACAGCATTGTAATCGATCATAGAATCACCAAGTACAAGGGTCCTTGGTGATTGTGTGGTTCCACCCCTTCACTTCACAGGTTGCATAGGTGGTTGGTTAGTGACTGGGCTGAATGAGAACTGAGTTCTAACTCCTACTTCAGTGTTCTTTACATACCACAGGGCACACCGATTTCTAATTGTGCCATTACCTGTAACACTTGTCTTAAGAGAATTATTTTAGTACAGTGAGAACGTTTTGACATCAAACTGAACTATGTCCCATTAGGAATTTCATTAAGGAACTTAATTCCCTCTTCAAAACCAGGCCTATCATAGGTAATATGGTTTCTCCCTTACATCATAAATACCCTGTGTGTTTATTTCTACCTTGTTTGGAGAAAGATTTAAGGTCACTTTATAAAACTATACATGATGTGCCAACAGAAAAGAAACAGTTATTGTGAGAACATTGTCATAAATACATTCATATGATCCAAGTGTGGTATGAATATAAATTGAAATTTGCCATCATAAAAACAAAAGCACTCAGAGTTCCAGTTTTCATCCTGGCAAGAAAACCTTTTTATAATCTGGCTCCACCTTTTCTATTCAGTTTGATTTTTTATTTTCCATATATCTTGTCTCTCCTACAGTTGTGCAAGCTCCTTAAGGGCAGGGGCTTTCTTACACTCATTTTCCAGTCTTACAGTGTTGGCTGAGCTCCATAAATAGATGTTCAAAAAAGATATATCAACTAGTCTCCTTTCTTATCTTTTTAAATCTCCTTGGGCCTCACTTTTCTCACATGTAAGATGGTGGAAATCCCACACTCAAAAATTCCTTGAGGGCTTCCCTGGTGGCGCAGTGGTTGAGAGTCCGCCTGCCGATTCAGGGGACACAGGTTCGTGCCCCGGTCCGGGAAGATCCCACATGCTGCGGAGCAGCTGGGCCCGTGAGCCATGGCCGCTGAGCCTGCGCGTCCGGAGCCTGCGCTCCGCAACGGGAAAGGCTACAACAGTGAGAGGCCCGCGTACCGCAAAAACAAAAACCAAAAAAAACCCCAAACCCACCTCCCTTATACTCACTTCTTCTGGACCCCAAGTCTGGCTTCAGTCCCCGCCATTCCACTGAAATATGCTTCTCGAAGAGAGCCTTTACCTCCTTGCCCATGAACCCAGGGGATGCTTATTGGTTCCTTATTATTCTGGACTTGTTGCCAACATTTCACACTGTGGACCACTCTCTGATTCTTGAAATATTCTATTCCCATGGCTTCCATGACACACTGCTCTTCTAATTTCCCTCTACTTCTACTAAAAAGACCAAAGAAGTCTTTTTATCTTCCTATTGATTATTTTAAATATTAGTGTTATTCACAGTCCATTCCCTCCTGAGACTGCTCCTTACTTCTTCAAAGTCACCAACCAGGTCCAACACTGAATTCATTTTCTCTCTCCCATCTGTACTCCGGTGTCTCACATGGCAGCTCCACACACCTAGTAACCTGGGCACAATCATTAACGACCACCCACCCAACCCACACCCCGGACCCCTGGCCATGGCTAATCTCTGACCAAATCCTGTCAATGCTGCCTCCTCACTATCTCTGGAATCTGTTTACTGTTCTGCATTCACACGGCCCTACCCTGGTTCAAGCCATTGCTTCTTGTCTGTAATCATTCAATAGCCTCTTAACTGGTCTGCTTTCACAAGAGTGCCCCCTTCCTTCCAATCTGTTCTTCATCCAGACTGATTTTTCTACAGAATAAATGAGACTGTTTTCAGTCTCTGTTATTCTTGGGGAAAAGTCCAAAATTTATACTATGACCTCCAAAGCCCTGTGTGATGCACTTCTTATACCCTCTTTTCAGCCTCACCTCTAATTGTTCTTGCCAGCTCTCTTTGGTCAAGCTGAAAACCTTCTCCTTGTTCCCTCTGGGCCTGCACGCATTGGTTATCCCTTTAGAACACTTTTGTCCTTCCCCCTTGTCTAGTTATCCCTCTAGATCAGCTCAATCACCACTTCCTCTAGGAAGCCTTTGCCTTGCCCACAAGTCCAGGTGAAGTACCTTCCTGGGGGTTCCCTGTTCCCTGTCACTTGTCACACTGCATCATAATTTCCAGTGTGCTCAGCCTTGTCACCCATTAGACAGAGAGCTCCTTGAAGGAGGGACCGCATCTGTCAGTCATTGTCACAGCCCAGGTACCTCACACATTGCCAGGCACACGGTCTCTGCCCAATAAATATTTATGAGATGAACGAACTGATTTTTTTAAAATAGCATTTGTACAGACAGCTATTAGCAACTTACAAAAATTTTATCAACCCTTATTTCTTAGCATCATAACAAAGCTACTTCCAATTAAGTTTAGAAATAGAATATCAGAGCTGTAGTGACATTTTCATTACTTCTACATTCTAGTCTGTTTTAAGGCCATAATAATTTTTTAAAATACTAGCATAACTGTTAAGCATAATCCCCTGATATTAGCATAATACTTTGAATACAGAGCCGTCTTCCTGGCCGGTGTTAATATTCGTGATTGTGTAAATAAAAGGTTTCTTTTTTTAATATTTCTGCAAAAATCTCCTGTCCAGTATTTTTCAGTATTTGCTATATCAAAAGATCATCTTATAGAGATTTAACAATGGTAAATATAAAGTTACAATTTTTTAGGGTATTTGGGTGAATAGTAGTAATAAATTAAACTATGATATTTGGCCATACTTTAACCTTAAACTTAATATCTTATTAAAAATAAAAAGCATTATTATGGTGGGTCTGTTTCATCTAGTCAGTTCTAAAGCATACATACTATGGTTCCATTAAAAGTAAACTTGTAACATTTCTCACATCAGTGGTAGGTAATTCTTTAAAAAATGACAGTAGAACTACAGTGCCCATCAAGACTCTGGTCTTCATTCCAAGTACTGATTCTTTTTTTTTTTTTTTTTTCAACATTTCATGGATTTGGTCTCTGAGATCTCATTTCACCCATTCTATCCAGAATATGGAAAAAAAAAAAATGTGATATCAAATGAAGAGGAGAAACTTAAAAATTTTTAAGTAAGCTTTACATTTTAAAATGACTAATATTAGTTATTTTGAATTGCAAAGTTATTATTAAAGCTGCTGGGTTTAGGATTATACAATTTCTGCTTGCCTTTATTATGCAAAATGTGGGACATATCTAACAAGGCACCATCTTACCTGACAGCTCTGGAGCGTCCCAGCTCAATTGCCTGGGATTTATACAAGATAAAATTACAGTGTGTGCAACAAATGACTCGTATCAGATGACACGAGAAAGAATGACCCAGGCAGAGGAGGAATCCCGCAACCGAAGCACAAAAGTTATCAAACCTGGTGGACCATATGTAGGTTTGTATAGATACCTTTCTCCTTCTTGCTGATTGATTGGAATAATTCAAGATCACTCTAGGTAAATATCGGTAATATTACTTAATGAAAACACAGAAATTAGTTCTCAGAACACTTTGAAAAACATGGTCAAAAGTCATTTATTCTCTTCATACTGCTGATAAATTGAAGAGATTGAAAAATTTTATTTCTTTCATAAATCCCAGATCCCCTATTGGCCATTTGTTATTACTTTACAATACTGGGATCTGCTCAAGTTACTTCACTATGTGAGATTGTGATAGTGGTACTGTTGTGTTTTCTTTGTCACTGGATGATGTAATTTCAGTGGTGGACAGTATAGTTCTTATTTTGTACTTCTGGAGAGTTATTTTTATAGTAAAATCTATTAGTAGAACTTATGAGTTTTCTATTAGCAGAATTTCAAAGAATCTTTGCACAACAAGGAGTTTTTATTGCAAAAGTATTAAAACATGCTTATAGCAAAGCATTAGGGTGATGCCTCTTTGGTACCTCAATTGTGATGTCATCTCAATTATGGATCCTCATCCTCATCTCTCCATTAATTAAGAACCTGCCCTACCCCCATCACCTTTATCATCAGCTCACTCAAATATCCATCAAATCGAGGGGAATTAAGACCAGACCAGCAAGATGAGTCTCTCCTTTACGAGCAGTGACCCTGACAGTTTTAAAGAGTTAATTCACAGTGACTATTAACAGTAATAGAGAGAATCACCCAGGGTGAGGATGAGCTCTATGAGGCCTCAGTCAGTTTAATAACACAAGTCACTGGATAGTAAATGATGAAAGGATATTAATTTGAAAATGTAAATGCTAACAAAAAGTCTCTTGAATAACCAGATCCCTTAATCAACATCTTTCCATGGTTTGGTATAATTCTACTTCTGTATTTTCCCATTGCTGACCCAGCTACAATACATTCAGCTTTGAGAAGCTCCACTAGTATCTTTAATAAGTATTTCTTTGGAACAGAGCCAGTGCCCCTGGGACTTGGTGCTTAGCTTAGATACATTTAGTTTGGTTTAACAACAATTCATGGCTTCCCCAGGTATCTGTACCCACGGGGCCCAGTTCCCTGCCCAGTAAGTTACTAGCAATGAGATTTTTCATCTTCTCTTTCCTGCTGAATGAGATAACAACTTCCAACCTCCTTTCTTTCTTCTTTATTCTCATAGGTAACTTAATTAACTTTAGTAGGCTAAATCTCAAATTGTTTTTAAAATGTACAAGATCTGCTGCTCTTAAATTTAAGTGCAAGCTATGAATTTGCTGTCCCTATTGCTTTGAGAGTGTTTTTTAAGTCCAATACCACCAATTTATAAACAGTAAGACAAATTGGTGTGTTTGACAAAGGAATAGAAGACTCCAGCAATCAAAATGATTTTTTTTTCTTCCCAGTATAACTATCTGAAAACCTTCACCTTGATTTATTCCAAAGCTTGAAAATTAGCAATGATCACCGTACTTTTTTCCATTGAAAGATCCTTGGGCGTCCCCTATGTCCATGTGTTTTTGTTTGTTTTGATAGGGTCGGTACAGTTCATTCCCACCTTACACAAGAGACTTTTCAACACCCAGAATTACACAGGCCATACATGCCCTGATGGTATGGGAATTTTGGAACTTGCAGGGTTTCTTATAGGCACTACAAATAATTTATATACATTTTTTAGAGTGACCACATAGAATTTGAGGTTATCTAAATTTAAATCTGAACCAGATTACATCTATGCCATTTTAAGAAGAGCACACATATGTTCCCCCCCTGCAGAGCCCCACAGTGACTTCTGCCAGACAAGTGCTCTGTTTAACCTTCTCTGTGCTGTGTCCTCTGTGCCCTGGGCTACTCTCCATCACAGCAGTGTTCTTCTCTGGTCTTAAATCTTGTCATTAACCTCCTCAGCCCTTTATTCTCTAGGTCAAGTAACCCCAGCTCCTTTTAACTTTCCTTAATATGGCCTGCATCCCAAGCCTTTAATTACTTTTATTGCTCTCCTCTGGACTGCCTCCAGTTCTTCACCTCAGAATTCCAAACTGCACACACTACTAAGAAAAGACTAATCAATTCTGAATACAGTAGAGCAAAAGACTAGTATCCGGATTGGCTTTTCTCGTGTTTCTTTTTGATTTTTTTACTCTTCCTTGTTATGGCATGTTTTGATCTTTTTCTTCTAACTTTATCCATTGCCAGGCCTTTACCGTGTTTCTTTCCTTCCAGGCAGCTCAGTTTGTATCCTCCTGCTTTTTTCAGTATCTCAAAACTGACCCATTCAGATCTTTAAAATGCTAGTCAGTCACCCTTCAATACTAATATTACTCAGCACTTCCTGAGTGCTTGCGATGCACAAGGCACTGGTTAGCACTTTACGTGTAGTTATTCATCTAAATCTCACAATCACCCCATGAGCTGGGTTATGGTTGCCTCTACATTTTACATATCAAGTTGTTGGTATCAGCAAATAGCAAATGATAAGAGTTTGGCCTCATTAACAAGTTATGTTTCTTTCATAAGACAATAGGAGATACCTCTTTAGTTCTTAATTGAATATATCATATAAAATGATACCAAAAGCTGACCTTTGCCAGCTTAGAAGCCTCTGCAGAACAAAGTTTCTTTTAATAGTGTCAGCCCGAGTAGAGGACAAATAGGAATAATGTTGGTCTCACTGTGGGGGGTATGGTGGCATCATCTAGTCCTCTGATAGTTGAATTAGGGCACAAGCCCAGTTTAAGGAAGGGAAGGCTGTGCTCTTAGGGGTCAGCTTGCCTAGGCAACCAGGAATGTGAGCTTCTGTGACCTTCTAGTGGGCTTGGGGTGGGGAGTGGGGGAAGGCCTATTTTGCCTGGAGAGGAGCACAGGAGAAGCTTTAACCTAGAAAACATTGTTATTATTTCTTCAGTAATATTTCCAGTTCTAGTTATGCCATTGATATCAATAATGAGCATTGTTGTGTTGTTATTAATCCTTCCCCTTTGTTTAAAAAAAAGAAAAAAAAAACATCACTTCTAGTTTACCAGTATCTTAAGTCTGCTCACTGACTCCTATCTAAATTCTGGAAATTTATTGAATTGTAAATTTTGATTATTTTATATACCTAATATCTATTTAGGTATATAAAATAACCCAACCAACCTAATTCCTAGGGTCCTTTTTCCAGTTTTCCCAACTTTTCCCCCCATCCTCCTTATTTTTGATGTTAGTACATGTTTGAATGACCTTGGACAAATCAATTAACATCTGGAGACCTTAATTTTCTCAAATATTAAAATAAGGGGTTTGGGGCTTCCCCAGTGGCACAGTGGTTAAGAATCCACCTGCCAATGCAGGGGATACAGGTTCGAGCCCTGGTCCGGGAAGATCCCACATGCCGTGGAGCAACTAAGCCCGTGCACCACAACTACTAAAGCCCGTGCACCTAGAGTCCTTGCTCCGCAACAATAGAAGCCACCGCAATGAGGAGCCGGCGCCACAACGAAGAGTAGCCCCTGGTCGCCACAACTAGAGAAAGCCTGCCTGCAGCAACGAAGACCCAACGCAGCCAAAAATAAATAAATAAATAAACTTATAAAAAAATAAATAAGAGGTTTTGAACGTAGATAACATCTAAGGTCCTTTGTAGTTCTAGCAGTCTATGACTGGTGTTTATATATGTTTTGATAGTAAACCTTTTGAAGAAGTGATCTCAAATGCTAAGTAGTGGAGATGGATTTCATTGCAGTGGATTATGTATTTAACCATGACAGAGTCACACCACTGTCAAGGTCCTGCCAGTGTTTTTAAAACCTTGGGTCAGTGTTGCCAGGGTTTTTAGTTAGGTTCCACAGGACAGAAAAATAACTGCAGAAGACGGTTGGCATCCCTGCTCTCTTTCTGATTGTCTGTTTTAACACCTTCCTTTCAGATTGTTTACTCAGAGTCACTAGATGGAGGGCTAAGTACTTTTACCATTTCATATTAAATGGAGAAGCTAGCAGTGGACTCCTTGTTATGAAACAAAACGGTTCAGATATAGTCCCAGATTACCCAACTCTGTCCAACCTGCTGCTGCTGTTTATATAAGGAGCCCAGGGAATTGATTAGCAGTTGGGTCTGGGAAGAGAATTAGGTTCTCCCACAGGCTTTATTAAAAGGGCTTTTCTGAGGCAAATGTAAAAAATAAAAATAAAGCCTTTCTTCTGCCCACTTTGAACCACATTTTCCTGCTCTTTTTTTGCTTTAGCATCTCAATTCTGTAACTACTTAGAGTACTAATGTTTTCTTCATTTATAGCCTTTCTTACCTTAAATCAGAGGACTCCTTCCTGGTTGAATAGGCACAGATTGATGGGGAGGCAGGGAGCAAGTGATCTTTGTGCAAAACTCTGTGGCCCAGTGTGGCTGGATTCTTCTTTCATCATTTGAAAGAAATGGGTTACCCTACAACTTGCTGTTTAAAATGAGGTAAAGGTGAAGTGAGTGTTTTGTGGGTAGGAGATTCATGGACCAATGATAGCCTAGCATTAGGCCCCAGGTGAGACTCCAATGCTGTCACATCCCTGCCCAGATTCTAATTTCTTGTTAGACATCATACTTTGACCCCTTTTAAGGGCAAAGTGAACCTCCCTTATTTGGTAGCCCTATGTCTACTTTGGGAGGGTGGGGTAAACTCAGGAGACCTAGGGGCTTTCCTGAGACTGTGGACCAGAGGTTGGTGAGACCTACAGAAGAGGTAGGGCAGCCTGCAACACAGTGATAGTCCTGTTTTTGTTTTTATTTCTATTTGCCTTCCTTGCTGGCCTGAATTCATTCTAAATGACTAGTCATGGTGTATGTGAGTTTAGTTAAAAACCATTCTCTGCTCATCCCGCTCCCTAGAGACGAGTGTGGGAGAGGGATCCATAGTCAGCTTGGTTTGGGGAAGTAGAAGTTAAACAGGTTTCAGGGGGGCGGGGAGTGTGGAATTTATAGCGTTTCCTAAACTTGTCTGACCCAACTCTATTCTTCCTTTCCAAAAATTCCTATTGAAATTTCAAGGAAGTAGCACTGTTTGCTAACACTATTGCAACTGAGAAGTGGTGTGTCTTCAGACTCTGGCAGCCTGGTGATGTGCAAAAGTACAGGACAGGCCACCTTGATCCTGCTCCTCTGCTGTCTGCTTGTTCACTTGCTGTCATTCACTTTGACACTTTGCTGGTCATTTCACTTTGCAAGTCATCAAAATCTAGGTCTGCTGATAGACAAAGCAGCCATAGCACTGCCCACAGGAAGCTTGCAGCCTAACATGAAGCAAGGGCAGACATTAGGCATTTGTTCATAAAACCTTTCCAACAAAGAAGTACAAGTAGGAAAACTTGAATATTAATCGCAGAACCTTCCAAATGCTAAGTCAGCACTCTACTATTTGAGCTTATCCCATTGAAATCCTCAGTTTTCTCATCTGTGAAATAGGACCAAGGCCTACCTCATCAGGTTACTTTATGAGACTTTATATGTGTAAAGCTCTTAGCACGGCGCCCCTCCCCCATCCCATAATTGGTGCAAGATAAATATTAGTTCCCGGCACATCTGACATTGATCTAACTATCTCTGAGTTAAGAAAAATACAGAAAACAGATCTAAATCTATCTCCAAAGCTCTAATTGTACCTTAATTTAATAGCTTTTCTTACCACTGGGCAGTGACCCTTTAATGTTGAGTTCCTTTGTTGTGCAGTATTTTGATCTGATATTTACAATTGGTTACGTCCAGATAGTAAAGAAATATAAGAGCCAGTGAGACCTTTCTTTCTCCTTTAGGTAGGATTGTATCAAACAAAGAGCCCCTCTGGCCAGGCCTTGGGAACCCAGCATGGACAGAACTACTATTCAGTAAAGCTCCTGCCCCATTAAGCTGTTTTCACCCAAGCCAACAGCACTTTAGATACTGCTTTTACTTATCCATTGTTTCTAATTGCTAGTATTGTCCCTAATGCAGTTGTTCCACCTTGTATGTCATTACCAATTCTTCCCCCTCTTTAACCAATGGGCATAGAGTTGGAAGCTTTAGTAGTGACGTATCAGATTTCACCTCAGAAATCATAAAGCGAGGGTCTAATACAGTTTCATTCTAATCTCTCTTTCTTCAGCAAGGAATGGTTACCAGGTATTGTCAGTGACCAGCCATGTACTGATGGCTTCACACATCCATATAGTATTCAGGTCACTACAGCCCACAGTATTTTCTAGAAATAGCCACTTGCCAAACACTTGTCATTGTTAAGTTTAAGCAGAAAGTGTGTTAATTATGTGAATGGCACTGGCCTGTGCAGAAATGGTGTGAATGCCTGCTTTTACCACTTTCCATTCCTCTAACTCACCTTGTAGTCTCAGCACCACAGAGGAGAGATCTGCTTGTCTGGCCCTCTTAGACTGTGTTGGTTGGTTGGTTGGTTGATTGGTTTTGTTTTTGCTTTTTGACTCCTAGAGTATGTTATGTCTGTTGAAAAGGAATATCACTCATGAATGCCCTGGTGAATGTTGACCCCAAATTATGCCTGACTCTCCTCTTTGTGGCTTCTGAATCTGTGAAATTAAGCTAATGACTGAGCTCAGCCAACAGTGTGTCCTTAGTGAGATAGACAGGTATTTTTCACATTTCACATATTCGTTGTATTCATATCTGCCAACGAAATGACATACAATATGTAGGTTTAAGTTCTGTAAGTAGCACAGGTGAGTATGGAGATTACTTTATTTCCACTTAACATCAAATGCCTACAACCTTAAAATTTCCAGTGTTGCTATGGTGTGTCACTAATTATTATCCATGTGTATAGCTAAGTGGCCAAAATAGTTTTATAATACATATTTATTCCAATAAACGCTTCTGTCAAAAAGTTCTGAATCCACATTTTAGGCCATTTATTCAGAATGCTTTCTGTTTGCATATCTTTTTAAAGTAAAAATTGAAATATGAAGTCTTTATTCCTTCCAGAATGAAGAGGTACCTAAATCAGAGTTGTGGAAATTGAGATGCTCATTATATTATCACCTGCAAATGTGTAACAGTGTCATTTCTACTGGACTTTAGGGAAAAGAGTGCAAATTCGGAAAGCACCTCAAGCTGTTTCAGATGCAGTGCCTGAGAGGAAAAGATCAACCCCCATGAACCCTGCAAATACCATTCGAAAGACACATAGCAGCAGCAGTGTTTCTCAGCGGCCATATCGGGACAGGGTGATTCACTTACTGGCACTGAAGGCCTATAAGAAACCTGAGCTGCTAGCTCGACTGCAGAAAGACGGTGTCAATCAGAAAGACAAGAACTCCCTCGGAGCAATTCTGCAACAGGTGAGGACAGCTGGAGAGAGTTCCTTCTGCTTACCTTCTTGTTGGGGAGTTCATTTAAGAAGGCTTGTTGCTGTTGTTGTTGTTATCATTATTATTGAGGTAGAGAAATTTCAGGATCGTTTTGATCAATGGTATATGAATATTAAATCATCTTGACTTAAACATTTAATTAAAAACTAATTGAAATGTAGACATTTATACTAGGTTTTATAAGTTAGAGCCTTCTGAATTATCAAGTTTCGAGTCATTATCTTCATTTGGGTTAAACAAACTTTGCCCTGAAATTCCATTAAAAAAAAGTAAACGAAGTTTTCGTTAGCTGCTTTTAGTCTTGAATCCGCTAAACTATTGCCATAATTTTTATTGGTTTATGTAGGTGAAGCTATACAATGTGTTTTTATCAGTCTTTGGTCGGTATAAGCTAGAATATTTTTACCTGCTAAATAGTTTTGGATGTGTCTTGCCCTGCATGCTGTTTTTGCCTGTAATACTCTGCCTTTTTCAACCATTGCGTATGCTGAAATCAGTCACCTGTCTTCATTAAAGGATATGAATATGTAAAGTATTAGCACTGATCAGTTACCATATAATCACAAGCTTAAGTACAAAAGTAAGTAAATTTGTTAAAATCAGCAGTTCATCAGACTGTAGCTTCCTGTATTTTTTAGAATGACTTTGTGTCATAAATGTTGATTAGTATTCAAGTCCACCAGAAATGGAAGTCTGCTTTCTTTATTTTTTTCTAAAGCAGTAACATTTCCAAAGTTGTTCTTAAATTTCATCATTAAAAAATAAAATAAAATAAACCTGCAGGTTTTCATGTATTATTCAAAGAATAACATTTTTAAGTCCTTTTCATCTGTTTTCTCTTATATTCAAGACATGATACCAAATGTCATGAAAGAGTAAAACCATAATCTCCAGTTCTGGGTTAACCAGTCCCCAAGGTATCTTTGGCAATTTCAGGGATCTTATTAAGTCATTTGAGCACTTTTTGGAAACACTTAATTTAAACCCATATGTCACATAGCAGTTTTAAGAGCTCAAGAGACAGGATGAAAGAATGAATGAGGATGAGGGGGGTATAGGTGTGTGTGTGTGTGTGTTCAGTTTTTTATTTGGGGAAGGGGGGAGGTTCAGGTTATAAGTCAAAATATTTGGTGACTGAATCTCCAGAAAGGTTGTAAATTACCTCCTAGGTTAGAGGATGAGAGGGCAAAATGATGGCAGAGGCAGTTCACCCAGAGGCTGCTACTGATGTATGTCAGTAGTCATGTGATCATGAATATGTGTATAGATATAATTTTTAAATGTAGGTATACTTAATTCCTGAGCAAGTGGGATATGAGTGTCATTACTATTGTTTATTTGATAGAATCTAGAGCATAGTCTCATCCTAGCTCCATATTAGAATCCCTTAGAGAACTTTTTTAAAATGCCAGTTCCTGGATTTCGCCCCAGACCAACTAAATGGAGCAACTGAATGGATATTGAGCCATTGACTGAGATGGGGAGGGATGGAAAAGGAACAAGAGTATGCAGAGGAATCAGGAATCCTGTCTTACATACATACTATTTGGACGATGTCTATTAGACATATCCAAATGGAGATGGATATTCAGTAGGTAGTTATATATATATAAGAGTCTGGTGTCCAGAGGACAGTTGAAGCTGGAGTTATAACTTAGGAGCTAGCAGAATATAGATTGTAAGATCGTTGTATTTATTCCACTTTGAGAAATCTGGTTGTATCTCATGTTAATTTATTTGCAAATTTGAATTTTAAGGTAAGCCTATCGTTTTCTACTGTATATCAACATTAATGTTAGTATTCAGCTGAGCTGTGAGAAAAGCATAAACTATCATATTATATTTTATAGTACTTTTAGAAGACACAGAAAGAAATGAAGTTATTAAAAAGACCATTCCAGTAGGAAATGAAAAGAAGAATATCTTTCTGCCAGCATTGAAAATGACTCTTGGTTCGGCCCCTGAATCCATACATTCATGTTGTTAATGGAGCCTGGGCCTGGATACGCAAAGAACCGTACTTAAGGGATAAGAAAAGATTACACTTGCAAATAATAACAGTAATGCGGGGGTTATTTTTGTTTCTGTTTCCGTTTATTGGTTTGGGGGAATTTCAAGGACTTTGAAAAAGTGGTTCTTCAGGAGAACTGGCAGCTATAACGAGCAAGCTTAGCAAGCCAAGAAGATGACAGACAAGATTATCAGAATTGATACTGTTTATGGAGATAATTTCTGTTGATTACTGGAAGGGAAAGTTTGTAAACCAACATATGGGCACTGTTTGGTTTCTACTTAATACAAGTGATCAAGGACTTCTAACTCAAAAGTAATGGAATTAATAGCCAGAAATAAATAATGAAGATGTTAAGAAAACAGTTTTGGATTCCTTTGACTAGGGAAAAAAATGATTAAAAAAAATCTTCCTCCACTTTTTGCATAATGTAGGATTACTATTTAACAAATGCAGTGGCCATCCAGGAAAAAAATATTTAACTATGTATATAAAGTTTTATTTAATTCCCCAAATGAAGTCAAAAAGCATTTATTGAGATCTGGCATATGCAAAGCTAGCAGTCCCTTTGGAGCCATTTGATATAGTTATTTTCAGTATAAATCCAAAAGGTTGCCTGTTTTAGGTTAAGAAATAGCAAAAAGAACTAATGCTCTCTTTTCACACCATGTACCAGGTAGCCAATCTGAATCCTAAGGACCTCTCATACACCTTAAAGGATTATGTTTTTAAAGAGCTCCAAAGAGATTGGCCTGGATATAATGAAATAGACAGACGGTCACTAGAGTCAGTGCTCTCGAGGTACGTTCTTATTTTTTTTCCTTTAAAAATTATGCAAATAAGTAATTATTATAGTCATTGTTATTTTAGTGTTGAGATGGGAAAAAAGAAGCAAGGGTAGGCTTTCTATCATGAACATTTGAAAATTGTCCCCCTAACTGGAACATGTGTGTCCTTTCCAGAAAACTAAATCCATCTCAGAATGCTGCCAGCACCAGCCGTTCAGAATCTCCTGTATGTTCTAGTAGAGACGCTGCATCTTCTCCTCAGGTATTGCATAAAATTATATAATCATAGCCCTGAAATGGACTTTAGGGGACACCTTTTTCAGGTTTTCTGATTTATACGTGAGAGAAATGAGACCCAGAAAAGCCGCACAGCTTCCCTACCCAAAGTTCACGGCAGAGCTTACTCTAGAATTCAGGTCCCAGCTCCCAGGCCAGAACTCTTTTTCACCATATAACACTACATTAAGTCAAGGTACTTAATGTCTACTCTGATTTTCAATCCTTGAAGCTCACGTTTTGTTGTAAGATTATCTACTTTTCCATTTGATCACTAACTTATCCAGTCCATATCCAGTCTTAGATTATATAGAAAATAGAAGATATTTAAATTTATCTGAAGCACGTTCTAGAAAAATATTCCTGGGGAAAAATGTTTTTAAAATAAGCAAATAAAAAACTCTGCTATTTCCATATGTTTTCTTAAAGTACTTTTTGATTAGATCCCAATCAGAATATTCCAGTGAGACTCCATTCCAGCTTAGAGTTTCCCCAAAAAGATTCAGTTGGAAAAAGATGGGGAGATCCTGGGTGACATAAGAGGTCAAGCCCACCTGGTTCTCAGACAGCCTTGAACTCTCTCAGGTCTTTGAGACTGGCAGTGAGACAAACCGCTCTACCCCAGTGCTGTTGACAGAGTGCTCCTCTCTCTGGACCGCGCTCCCAAGGCTTAGGGAGACAGGACAGATGTGTTGAGAACAGTAAGCATGCCCTGGGCAAAAGGCTATTCACGTGTCAGAAAATGTTAGAAACCTATTGTGAGGAACAGAGGAGGAACAAAATAAAAGCAATTCTTTCCTTGCATATATGTTGTCTACAGAAGCCTCAAATGCCAACTACTATAAAGCTACTTATACTCTGATCTAATTATGTACTAGCTGTGAGATCATTGGCCCTAAAGTCAACACAGAATAAATTAATGTGATGATTAACTATTATTTTCTTTCAAGCTGAAGTTTTAGCCACAGTATTACATTGGATGTATGCTTTGTACTTTTCAACTATCTGACTTTCCTTTTTATTTTAAATACTGTTATTGTTGTTGCTGGATTGGGCTAATATTAGCATGATTTTTGAAATTTTTTGAAATAGTAACTCCAAATAATTTTTATGGACTAGTTATTCAGACTTATCTTCCAATTCAGTGAAAAGATATATTTAAGGGAGAAAAAATTGGATGGCATTTCAGCAATGATAGAGATATGTAGAGAAATTATTCTGAATGTGCTGATTGTTGCCATCTTAAGACAGCCAAAATATGTATAACTGGAGCACGTTAGCACATTCGAAGAGATCAAGTAAGTGTGGGCTTATTGCCCTGTACTTACCCTTGTTGGTTCTGGCAACCAATAATGTTAAAAATTGCTTCTTCCTCTCACTGAATATAACTAGGTCGGCTGTGGCCAGCAGAGGAAGGAGGCCACCTCTATTTAATATACTCCTGAGTGGTATAATCCACATAAATTGGCCTAGTGTCTCAAGGAACTTAGGGTGGAGCTGTATGATCAGAAAGTATAAGTACTTAAAGAAACATATTTGCCAGATTCTGCTTTTTTACATTAGACATGAAAATTTATTGTAGATTGTGCTTAAGCTTGGAGGATGGTTAACACAACGCTGGTAATGAATTTAAACTGGTTATAAATTTAAGTATGAATAAAATTACTCAGTTGTTCTTCTAGTAACGAGTGACACATGTATTGAATTTTAGTGCAAACTGGCTCATCTGTTTTCCCTGTTCCCCCCCCACCCCAGAAACGGCTTTTAGATTCAGATTTCATTGATCCTTTAATGAATAAAAAAGCTCGAATATCTCACCTGACAAATAGAGTGCCGCCAACATTAAATGGTCATTTGAATCCCACCAGTGAAAAATCTGCTGCAGGCCCCCCGCTGCCCCCTGCAGCCGCTGCCATCCCCACGCCTCCACCGCTGCCTTCAACCCACCTGCCTGTCTCCAATCCTCCTCAGACTGTAAATTCTCACTCCAATTCCCCTAGCACTCCAGAAGGCCGGGGGACTCAAGACCTACCTGTTGACAGTTTTAGTCAAAACGGTAGTATCTGTGAGGACCAGCAAGACAAATATACCTCTAGGACTTCTCTGGAAACCTTACCACCTGGTTCAGTTCTACTAAAATGTCCAAAGCCTATGGAAGAAAACCATTCGTCTCACAAAAAGTCCAAGAAGAAGTCTAAAAGACACAAGGAAAAGGACCAAATAAAAAAGCACGACATTGAGATGATTGAGGAAAAGGAAGAGGACCTTAAAAGAGAAGAGGAAATTGCCAAGCTGAACAACTCCAGTCCGGATTCCAATGAAGGTATTTTGCATTTGTAAAAACCAACTACATGGGTTAAATGAATGGGAAGAGCAGACTATCCTGAGTATGAGATTATGCTGCTTATAATTAGTAATGCTTTTTTATCAAATGACCTTCCGTTTAGTTATTAATCTTAGTATTGTCCTTTTGAGCAAATTTTTTTCTTGCATTTTACAGCAGTCATTTTCTGTCTCTTTTTAGCCAACTATTAAACATAGTTTCTATGTTTCTTAAGATGGTGACATTTGAAAATGACCCTGTCATCCTCCAAAGACCCCGTTTTAGAAGGTGAACTTTGTTGCGCTTTTCCAGAGCTGTCACAGTATTGTGCAACCTCAACATGACCTATTATATGCCGTTCTTGAACTGATTTAACCAGACACACAATTAGCAGTAAAAGTACTCAGGTCCTTCTTTACCAAGAAGCAGGGTCAACCCTGCTTTAATTAATAATAGCACAGGGGAAATGTCAAATTCTTTATAAAACAGGTGAGGTAAAATTATATATGCAGATCCATAACATCATCTTCATTCAGAGTGAAAGCAATTTGCCTTCTGCAAGGCTGTTGGTGATTAGCTTGATAGATCTTGGGTTTGTTGTTTTTTTTTTTCAATTTTGAGAACACTGTTTTAGTTAGCTAACATCAACCGTTATTAATAAATTTAACCATTTCAAGCTTTTGGAAGCTTTCAAAGCCAAATATCTAGAGACCCAAAGAAGCCTAAAATAATGCTTTACCTCTAAAGAAAAGCTAATCAGTAGAAAGACTGCTTACCTGAGGGTAGTGATCTTTAAAACCTAATGACACAATTAGATTTCTCTTATTTTATATATATAGAACTTAATGTCTTGCATACCAACATACAGAAGATCCAAAACCATCATTTAGGACTGCTGCCAATTTTAAACCCAGCATAACTAAGGTAAAATTTCCCAGGAAAATACAACTTCAGAAAAAGTACTTTAATGATTAGACTTTAAGGAATTTTATCTTTCTGTAATTTGCCCACAGTACTGAAAGTCTGTAATCCTTAGATTTAACTGACCATTTTTACCGTAGGAGAGAAGCTTTGATTATGGAATAGTATGATGCAGTGTCTTTATTGACCTGGATTGAGTATATTGCTTGTCAAAGCATATCTGTTGAAATATGTAGATCAGCATGGTAGTATATAGTGGCCCAAGAGGTAGGTGTAAGCTTTTTCCCTCAAACACTATCGTACTTGAATTTGCCAGATCAGGAAGAGAAAAAGAAATAATAAAACTTCATGTTCAGAGTTAGTAAGCCAGATTCCTGGGTATGCCCCACTCTCCACACTTCCCACCATCAGATGGTAATCGTGAGTCAGAGACTGGATCCCAGAATGTTGAGAACTATAGCAGAGTTCGAGTTTTCTCAGAGCTGGAAGCCGAGAGAAGCAGGCCTAGTCTCTGAATCCTTCACTGAGGATGTAGTACCTTTCAAAGCCAATCGAGATTATCACAAATTGAGGATAGATTCAGACCTACGTCCTCTGCTCTACTGGAATTTATCTGCTGTCTGTGGCAGAGGAGAAGCCAGGTGATGTGCACTTGATGCCTTTTCCTTTAAGCCTCAGGCTGTTGTAAAAACAAGCTTTTACCTAAGCCTGAATCAAATACACACACACACACACACACACACACACACACACACACACACACACATGCACGCACACACACAAAATAAGCCCACAGAGTCTGCATAATTTGTTTAGTGTGCTTTGTCCTTTAAAATATTAAACCAAGAAATTATTAAATTCTCACTCGTTTTATATTGAACATGTATGTTTTGCTAGCAGGCAGGGTTTGGGTTTGAGTTATTAATTTAATTCTACTTTGAATGATCAAAAATTAACCTAATAAAAAAGTCTAAACATACCCTCTGGAAAATGGTACATTCAAACAAATGGAATACTGAGGGGTTTTATACACTATCACAGTGCAGTCCTGAGCAACTGGCACTTTATTTTGTCCTCTAAAAAACAAATCTGTGTAGTATTATGAGGGTTAGAGATTAGAGGAGTATAAATTGGTGTTCACTAATAACTTATTTTAAATTACTTTAAACTGATAGGAAAACTTCCTGCCCAATTCCACTGTCTTCATACAAAAAGAATAGCAGTAAAAATACAGCCATCGAAATAGTCTGCTACCTGACTTCACTATCTTATCTGCCTTGTTTGAATCCTATGAAAAGTAGATGTTTATGTAAAGTTTGTATCTCCCATTGTCTGGCTGCATCTGCCACCACAATCTTTGAATTGCTGGGCAGATGCCACAACTGTTGTTGAAAGAATAGAAGATTGACCTTGGGTTAAGATGGAATTCCTTTATTGTGCAGACACTGCAGTAGCCAGGGTGCTTTCAATGCCTGGCGTCGGTTCTGCTGGCGCTGGTCATAGGGCCTCTATTGTTCTTGTTCAATTGTATTCCTTGCTCACTATTGCTTATTGAGATGGACGAATAGAATTTGAGGAAAAGTGTTCCAGATGTTTCTGATCTATTTTAGAATTATAGGCATTTTGTAACCATACCCTTTGGTGAACGCTTGAATTTTTTTTCTTTGTAGGAGTTAAAGAGGATTGCACTGCCTCCACGGAAGCTTCTTCAACAATTGAACTCCCAGATTATTTGATGTAAGTTCAGATGTCTGCTGATGGGAGAGAACTATTTAATTTTAGAAAGTTTGCAAATTCTTTTCCCATAATTTGCAAATCAGAAAAGTAAGAAGTTCCAGAAATAGAGTCCTGGGGCCACCCCTGCAATTGAAAGGCTGCCATTAAGCCTGCTCGTCCCCAGTCCACCCGTGTCGGCTTGAGCAGGTTGTGCCTTTCCCTGCTGTGAGCTCCGCTCGGTGGCCTTTAAGTATAGAGAAGCCTGTCCTTTGTTCCGGGGCCAGGCCAAGCGTTTGATTATGGAAGACTTCAGGGATCTGACTCTTCAAAGTCAAAACAGTTTATCAATGCACAGTCATTCACTTGGGCCCCCCAAAGGGACAGTTTATTAGTGATAAAGTACTTAAACCTCTGCAGTTAACACAAAGTAGAGACAGATGGATTTTTATTTAAAAAAAGCTTTGCCATCAAATTAACTTTAAGAGGAGAGAGCAGTAAAATTTGATCATTTCACTTTAATACCGGTTATAGTATTTTTCTTGTTATGACAACAAGTTGCTCAGTACTAAGCTGGGGTCTTTTTTTGTAACTGGTTATCACAGAAATTATAACTTGGACACAAAATTCTAGCTTTTTTACAGACTCAAAGGCTTCTGTAAGAAGAAAATAATTAAGTTGCAAAAGCCTGGAAAAATGGAGAGTGAAAGAGCAAACAGATTTGCCTACCAATAGCTTTGAAAATGAACAAATACACAAATAGCTTAAATGTAGACTGGAAATGGAATCTGGGCTGTATGAACATTTTTTTCTCTATCAGTAGCATCTCATGGTGGACAAAGTTAAACTATGAAGTTTAGCGCTCCATGTCCCATGAAATGTTCATTTCCAGAGTAGAGAACATTTTATACTAAAAGTGTGTTACTTTTGCTTAACAGTAGTGGTGAAAGCTATACTTATTGGGGAATGATATAGCATGAAACCGTAATGCTGGTTATCATCTCTTAACTAAAAGGAACCCAAGAAACCATGCTGAGTACTCTCTCATCTGAGGTGGTGTATGGTTTTAGAGTTCTGTTGGGGAGCTTGGAAAAGCTGCTACCACTGCGTTGGCCCCGGAAGGGCTGGATGGGGGACAGTGCCTGGCTCCACTGACGTGGGCATTCACCTCTCCAAATGCGTTTCCTTAAAAGTCTTGTGAAAGTTGGCCCCCTCAAATACTCAAATAGCAAATACTCAAATAGCAGTACTGTGCTCTCATTCTCTTATGACGGAATTTGAATTTCTCTTTTTTGTAATAGTGCTGTATACTTGTTACATAGGACAAAATCATGTGGGGAGACTGAAAAATGATTCTAACCTTTCCCCCACAGATTCAGTGTCGCCGTGTTTTGTCAACTTAAGCAGTTAATTCTATATTTAATAACTTGTTTTTAATGTACTGATCTACGGATGGTTGCTGCATCTGCCTCAGTGCATTTCTGTATGTTTGTCATTTTCTAGCTCTTTTAAAATCATGAAAGTACATAACCTATGTGATTGTTTGCTTAAGAGCAATTTATTTTAACAAAAGCTATCTTATATAAACATTGCAAATTTTCTTAAAATGATGAGAAAGCATGAATTTTCAGAAAAATCACTAAAAATACAGAACTTAAGCTTGTTTCTTAAGAAAACCAAAAGGACATACTATAAAACCTTTAATGATCAGCCTCTGAATAATTCACACTTAACCACAGTATTCCTAATTTTTATATAATAAGAATACTTCTGTTACTTGTGGTTGTGAATTATCCAAAGTATTTAACATTTTATTCCATCACTACATTAAGAGCCAGCTGTAGAACCATAACAATTTTTATTAAAAATAGTGACATGCTTTTCATTAAAATGCCAGTATAACCAAATAATCTTCTATAATAGCAACACAACTGTTGTCCAGTTTGGTACTTTTCCCTGAGGGAATTATTAAATAAAATATGGAGGGTATGGCCTCAGGTGTGATTTTGAGAAAGTGGGATAAATATTTTATATAACAAATTGAACCTGAGTTTCACGATCAGTTTAGCCATTTTGCTTATGCATGCTTATCTCCAGGAACCTCTTTCTCCACGACCCCCGCTCCCAGGCTCTCTCTGGTCTGCAGTCAGGACAGCCCGTGTCTAGAGAGGCCTGTTTCACTGCTTGGCTGGTGGTTTTCCTTTTATAGCAAGGACACTAGCAGGGCAGCTTTAAATCAGCATACTACCACTGTCTCAATTACACTTAGAAAATTAAACCTCCACACTGTCTAACTCAGCATGAATAAAAATATTAATGAGGACATTAAGGTTGCTCACTGTATCACTTTTCTCACATTTCCAGCTAGGCATCTGTGCTAGTGCATTTTGAATAAAACTGGTAAGAATGTCTAAAACCATTTTGAAGAGGACTGAACTCCCAAAGTTTTCCACAATGAAGAGTATATGTATACCCACTGGGGCACCCTGAAGCTCCTGCCACCTGCCTGAAATTGCTTTGAAATCTCAATTTTTATCTCAAAAAGTGAAGGGAATTTTGCATTCCATGACAGGAGCACAGAGTACAAAAAGACCCAGGCCCAGAGCCACAAACAAATAATATTAACTTTAATATTAAAGTGCTGTTTTGACTTACCACCACTGAATAAACTGACACTCTGGGAAGGTGGCCTTCATTCACTAGGTCCCGAGAGATACTCACACCCTGAAGTAAAACATTTGTGGCCTTTTTATTAAGAAAATAAACTAATACTATAAAACTGGCTTTCTGTTACACAGAGTATGACATTAAGTGTTTGAAAAGAACCAGAGAAATATACCTTTTTTTCCCCTTTTTTATTTTTTCTGGTCTCTCATTTTTAAAAAATGATAAAACAAAGCAGCACGTCTACAAAGAGCTTTGGCTTCAGCACTTAGTGACTGTGTGACATCCTCCTGGTTTCACATTACCCCTCCAATCCTTCTGTCTCCATGTGACTCGTAACAGATGGGTTGGCCTCTGCCGCTAGCAATGGTAGTAAATTATTTGGGGTAGAGAAAGGTTTAGGAAGCTACATGTGTGTAAGTGCTGTCTTCTAGTTGCACTTTAATTCCATTGCCACCATGTTTTCTTCACATTTATTCTTCTTCACTGAAGTTCTTAAACTCTCCTGTGGGGTAGTTTTACCAGGAAGGTCTTTGAAGGAGTGACAAGGCAGCAAGCAGTGGCAGAGTGGCATTCAGTCTAGGGAAACACACATAGATATAGTTTCTAAACATTTGGTTTAAATCTCAGACTTCTGCATCATGTTTATTCTGTAGCTACTCTCCATTTATCTTTTGTCTTTTTTATTAGAAAATATATTGCTATTGTCTCCTATGAGCAACGCCAGAATTACAAGGATGACTTCAATGCTGAGTATGATGAGTATAGGGCCTTGCATGCCAGGATGGAGACTGTGGCTAGAAGATTTATCAAACTGGATGCACAACGAAAGCGCCTTTCTCCAGGCTCAAAAGAGTATCAGGTAAACACATTTGTTCCTAGATGGACTGACTTTCATATTTTACCTTCTTTCTTTCTCTGCCCTTCCCATCCCGAGCCATCCTCCTAGCCTTCAGAGCAAGTCCTCTCACAGACCAGCCTCTCTGCAGCTTCTGGCCTTCATTTAAAATTAGTTAGGAAAGGGGCTTCCCTGGTGGCGCGGTGGTTGAGAATCTGCCTGCTAATGCAGGGAGCACAGGTTCGAGCCCTGGGCTGGGAGCATCCCACATGCCGTGGAGCAACCGGGCCCGTGAGCCACAACTACTGAGCCTGCGCGTCTGGAGCCTGTGTTCCGCAACAAGAGAGGCCGCGACAGTGAGAGGCCCGCGCACCGCGATGAAGAGTGGCCCCCGCTCGCCACAACTAGAGAAAGCCCTCGCACAGAAACGAAGACCCAACACAGCAAAAATAAATTAATTAATTAAACTCCTACCCCCAACATTTTCTTTAAAAAAAAAAAAAAAATTAGCTAGGAAAATAAATATTTGAAATAGTTCTTGAAAATAAGTAAACATGATGAGCCTATATTTCCTCCAGTGAAAAAACTATATTTTCATATAATATAATATGTATAAAATGTATAACATATACTTACATACTTACTGTAATATAATATGTAGTGTATTGAGAAAAATACAGACAACAAAATAGGAAAAACAAAAAGCAAGGTTTGGCATCAAAATATCTGACCGCATTTACCAACTCAACTCAGACTGTAGCTCTTACATCTGGTGCTACTTCCCCAAATTACTATTTCAAGTAAATTTAAAAAAAAAATTTTTTAAACCTCAGTCTGGCATAGAATATAAAGGGGGCTTAATACCACTCAGGCTTGGGGTTTAAGTGAAGAAAAGCATGGTGCTTCCAGCTTCCCGAGACTGCCATTTGTTAACAGGTATTAATCTGTTTTCACTTGCCTGCATTAAGTGGTAATATTACTACAGCTGACAAAGAGCAGTAGAAGCCTGACCTGCCTACTGATTGTTCTTAGAGTTCTTAGCCAAAGGATTGATATAAATGGATGTTTCCCTCCTTGTGTATGACAGATAACTTTGTCACACTTCACAGCCGCAAATGGTGCTCCATCCTAGCCCACTGTTGTTCTGACAGGAACCTACATGAGAAAATGGGGTGGGTTTTCCCACAATGGGGAAAACAGCCTGGGAGCATCCATGCCCTAGAGATTCATTATGTCTTCTATTAGTGGGCCTTAATCTTTTAAACAAGCTGCCTAGAGTTATAGAAAACTTTGCCAGAGGAGTGAGTGGTTGGCAGTGCAAGAGGTCAGTGATATGGTTTTGGGTTTATTTTTTTCTATATAGTTATTTACCAGTATACCATGATTATATTTAAACTAAAATGTAATTCTAAGAATTGCTTAGTGGTTGGGAGCGGGCTCTGAAGCCAGACTGCTTGGATTTGATTCCCAGCTCTACTTGTGTGACCTTGGGCAAGCTACTTAACTTGACTGAAAATTCTCAAAATCCCCATTCATAAAGTGAGGTGATTATAGAGTTGTGCAGAATAACTGTTAGCATTTGGAAACTGCTTAGATCCATAGTACAGGTTATGTAGTACATAAGGGTTAGCTCTCTTCCCCTACCACCCAATTTTCCTCCCTAGAGGCAATCAGTATTACTGGTTTCCATCGTATTCTTTCAGAGGTCTGTTTGAGTATAAGATATATATACACAAGCAAATTCACAAATATACCATATGTAATTGAATCTAAGATGTCATCATTTATAAGATCCACCATTGTCTTACGTTCCAGTAAGTTAAGGTATGATACATTATTTATCAGATTTCATTAAAAATTCCTAGGATATAATATTCTGTTTCTCCCTTATACACAAATGATACCAAACTTATAAATTGTTCTGTACTTTGCTTTTTTCACTAGACAGTATATATCTTAGAGAATTTTTTTATGTAAGCACATAAAGCACTTCCCCCTTTTTTAATGGCCTCTTAGTACTCCTTTGTATGGACTAATGGACATTTAGATTTTGTTTACTTTCTTTTGCTTTACAAACAGTGCTGCAGTGAGTAACCTTGTACGTGTGTCATTTCACAATTAAATCTGAAAGAAAAGTATAAGTGCTGAGTCAGCTTTGCATTTGCTGTTTTAACGGCAGTTGCCAAATTGCCCTCCTTAAAGACTGTACCAATTTACATTTCCATCATTAATATTTCCCACACCCTTGCCAATTGTATGTTATCTGTTTACATTGCAAAGAAAAAAGTTCTCTTCTGATTTCTAATTATTAATTTTCTAGAGTGTTCATGAAGAAGTCTTACAAGAATATCAGAAGATAAAACAGGTAGGTATTATCACTATTAGTTTTCTGACCTTTAGTTGAGAAGTGTTATGAATGCCACAGTCTTACTCCTCACTCTTTTTTTCATCCACAGTCTAGTCCCAATTACCATGAAGAAAAATACAGATGCGAGTATCTTCATAACAAGCTGGCTCACATCAAAAGACTAATAGGTGAATTTGACCAACAGCAAGCAGAGTCATGGCACTAGAGCTCTGCTTGGACCAGAAGATGTGAATAAACTTAAGCTTATTTATTTAAAATTCCAAATGAGTTGCTCTCAAATTCTAAAAAATGAAACTGCCTGTTGGAAGTTTCAGTATTAGTAAACTTGAGTTACCTTCCCCCCCACCCCCTGCATTTTACTTTGTTTCCTTGCATTTTTGAAGCTGCTTTTTTTCTGGTCCTTTTTTCCTACTTAAGACTTGTGTTTGTCAATAGAAATAATTTTTTTTGTAGATATTGAGGATCCAGTGTCTGTACTTCAAATCAATTTTTTTCCTTAAAAAACTGTGTTTGTCATTAGAAATGATTTTTTAGGTATTGGGGATCTAGTGTCCACACTTCAAAGTTATGTGTGTTTAAAAAAAAACAGTAATGTGCAAGATGAAATGCTTTTGGATAAACATAAGCCTATTTTCTGACCTTTCTTAATATGAACTCTTTGCCTTAAATGGTAGAACATTTAGAAATTTGCACAAAATACAAAAAAACTTAAAACATTGTTTTGGAGGGTTAAGAAATAGAAAGGTGTGTATGTGTATAGATCTATATACACATGTGTATATATAGTCTGACTTGATCTAGAACAGTAAATCTGCCCTGCAAATTAACCCCCCATTGCAATGGTTGCCTTAAGGTGTTTGCTAGTTGTGTACCTAGTGTGGTTAATCATTAGCTACACTGCTTCCCACTTGATTAGAGCAATGGGAAGCACATTGTGGCCTACCAGCGTCTGAAAGCGTGTGCTCGACCTGTATGTATGCAGAGGTGGTGTGGATGTGAGCGTGCGTGAAGGAAAAAAGCTGCTACTCTCAGTAGGCCAAACGCTCAGGTGAAACAACTGATGAGTGTTACTGTAGGTTTTTTTTTTCCTATCAAATTGCTACTTCTATCGTGGAAGACAAGAGCATTTCCATTTCAACCGTTTGTCAACTTTATTAATGTTGGGCAAAATTGATATGTTATGAAAATGAAACAGATCTATAGTTTGGGGCAAAATTATAAAATTAAATGTGTAGGTAACCTATTTATATACTGCTATAAAGTATTTTTTGAAGAGAGATATGCAAAGAAGCTATTACCTACATGAAATGTATATTTAAAGATTTTTTTTTTCATCCTGGGTGCCAGGAATATAAAAAAGAGTGGATATATTTAACCATAACATACTGTGATTCATCAAACAGCACAAACTTTCATTTCATGGAGTTTATCTGTTGACGTTGATTTAAACTATCATTTGTTTTATCATGTGGGAACATAAGTTATGTGGTCAAAAATATAAGGATTTTGAACTAATGTTGATTCAAGTTGTGTTGTCTTATCGTATTGTTTTTCACAGTGCTGCCAGTTTAAAAGGGAAGCATTATGTTTACAAATATGTTTTGAAATGTTTGCCAAAATTTTGGTGGTATCTTTAATAAAGATGTTTGTCTCCAGCATCCAAAACAATAAAAAAATAAATAACTTTGTTGTGTATCACTGTAAACCAGAAAATGTTGGTGTCTAGAAAACCTGAGAGAGCATGTAGATGAAATTTACTCTTTGGAGTTCTTCTAAAACATTAACAGGAAAGAGTAGATAATATAGTAAAAGTATACAAAAGTATACTGTACAAAGACTGAAACAAGACCCTGTGCACTATAACTCTAACATTACCACAGCAATTTGATTTCTACGTAGCATGGACCTCCTAGGGAATTCGATTTTCTTTTAGCATTGAGATCCCTGGTGCTCTTCCTTTTACCTCAGAATTGGTACAATCATTACTAAGCGTTCACTGATATCAAACTTTCAGTTGGAAAAAAAAAGCAGTAAAGAAAACTTAATTGGGGATAAATTTGGTCCTCATATCATATGGTAGAGTCTCCTGAGGGATTTGTCTGTAGGTAATGACCTCATTGGTGTCATTTCTTAGACATCATGGCCTTTTAATCAAAGATAGTGTGCTGCTACTTGCTATGAGTGGTGTTTCTCAAAAGCAAGGTGCTTGGACCACTTGCATCACCCAAATTAGAATCTCTGGGGATAGGGCCCACATAGCCCCATTTTCATAAGTATCCTCCAAGTGATTTTGCAAGCTAAAGTGCGAGAACAGTTGGCTTGGAAGTTAACACTAAACCTTTAGGTCTCTAAATCTCAGAGTCTTGAACTGAAGAAGTTTGGCTATTGGCTTCTTTTTTTAAGCCCCTCCCTGTCAGCAGGTGCAACTCACTTTTCCTCTCTACATCATTTGTGGCACCCTCTCAGTTGTTTCACTGCTAACACTTATTTTAGAACTTGTTTACAAACAAGGCAAACCTTCCAGTTGGCTAATTGTTAGCCCTTGGAGCTCCTACCCATCTACATCAGCACATCTTCTGGTTTACAAATTGGGTAATAATGGAAGCTGGAGATGCTTTATGAAAATCCAGCATTGCACACCCGTAGACTTGACCACCTACGTATAAAAGCCTTAATTTAGATGTCTGTTGTGTACATTGGGCGGATCCTTGCAAAATGTATATCATCAGTTGCAAATTTGAGAGTTGTGAATCTCCGCCTCTGCTATTACCTAAGGCTGCATCTCTTTTAAAGATGGGCGTGAGCCTATTAAGATATTTATAATCATTCTTCATCTCCTACTGCAAGATTTTTAGATTCTCTCAAATAATTGCTGCAGGAATGGGTGGCCACTTAGTATCAGTTACTCCGGTAGAATTTATTTAGTTTTTTGGTTTTTTTGTTCTTTTTGAGAGAAATAGTAAGTGTAAAATAGCATTGTCAAGATGAGACAATGAGTTGTGTTATTATTTGCTCATCACATTTCATCTAAAATAATTTGAAGCACTCTTGATGATTTTTACCAACAACCATAAATTAACTCCAGAATGAGCGAGCAGCTGATTCAATACAAAGCCAAAATAACATTAACTAGATGTGGTTTTGTTTTATGTGAGGACTTCACTTCCTATCTCGTTGGTTATTTATTTCCCCTGGAATACTTTAGAGGGGTTAACTTTCAACTGTAAGTAGTGATAGATGTTCAGTACTTGCTCTCACAAAAGTAATTGGTGTGGTCAGTTGATATCATAGCTCCATGCATTGATTATAAAAATCCAGTATTAATTTTCCTTCATCTCTGATTGATCTTTTAACCTTAATAGTTTTCTTTTCCCTTAAAATATTCCACCTTATTCTGTAAAACAAATGCATATTTTCATGTTTGAAGCAAGGTGTTGAGATGAGCTTTAGACACAAATGGTCCATCAGTTCCGACACTGCTTGGTTGCCTTACCCCTTCCACTAGTGCGTCCTTTGTTTCTGGAACTTGGCTGAAACTCTTCAGCCAGTTCATTGTCTTTCCAGCCGTGTGAGCGTTGAGTCACATATGAGTGGTTTTTGCCTTTACTACTTTTAAAGTTCTTACTGTTTATTACTTCCTAAGTGTTACTAAATCCTTTTATTCTGTACCAGATGGGGAAAAATTATAGCCAGCTTTGAGAGGAACCTTTTGGGAAAAGATATTAACTGACACGACTAAATGAAGGCAACAGAAGATGTTATCAATGTTCTTTGTAACCTGACAACTGAACAAGGCTATGAGGCTCATTTCAAAATATTTTGAAGTGTTAAAAATATATACATATATATCTACGCTGCTTCTCAGTTGTTCTACCCAAACCATGTTAGCAAGGTAAAATGTCACAGAGACTTTTCAGTTAACTGAGCTCAGCAGCTGTGGTGGCCCCTATTGTTCTACACCAATTTCAGTTCAATAAAAATGTTAACTTTGCAATTCTGGTACTCGTTTTTCCTTTGTCTCATTTCAAGGCTCTTAATTTTGTCTTAGAAAAAAACATCCCACAACAAAGTTTTCTCTGATGCCCTAATGTAAATGATCTTCCTGGGACAGAGATATTACTTGTTGGTGACTCTAGGAAGTGGGAACACAGGGTATTTGCTCCAGGACCCCCTGCTGCCTGTTTTACAAGTGGAGGACATCCCCTCCAAAGGCAGTATCTCCTAGGGGAACAATAATCACAGTTACCATTTATTGAGGGTTTTCTGTGCGTTGCAAACTTTGTATGTATTGTCCCATTTCTCCTCAGCACAACCCTGCTATCCCCGTTTTATAGGCAAGTAAACTGAGGCTTAGAGAAGTTAAGACACTTGCCCATCACATAGCTAGTAAACAGTGGAGACTGGGAAGCCTGACTCCAGTATCTGTTCTTAACCACTTTTCCATACTGCCACTCATATGTTGGTACCTATTTAGGGTTAGGGTAACCGTCACAAAGTGACAAGTTCAGTAACACCACACAGGGCTAGACTCTTTTGATTCAACGGAGACTAGAATGTGGGTGTTGGAGTGATACCTAATGGATTATTCTCAGTGAGTTGATTTTGTCAGAAATGATAAATTTGAAGGAAGGCCAAAATACTTTTTGAGAAAACATGTGTGTCCTTTATTTTCAAATGTGTGCTATCTTAACAGTGGGCTATTGGAAGGAGATTGGGGCAGTGCAGGTAGAGAGAAGAAGCAGGGTTACAGTCTTGGAATCACATCATTTTCTCTTCATGTTAAAAGGCTGTCTCAGTAAAAGACTCCAGCTCTAAGGTGTATCCAGTGTGAATTAGACATAAGAACATTCTAGTTGGATCCTTAACATGCAGTTTATACAAGTTTCCTGAATGACTAATGGAGGAGGAAAGGAAGCAAGCCTCAGTTAAGCACTAGTATTAAAAACCCAGAATGCTCAGTGCCAGCCGTGATTCTGGTTGGGTTTATGAGGAGCCCCAGGAATGAATGAGGTTCCCAATGTTGCAATTATTTCAGCAGCCCTCCCTCCCCCACTGGACATTTGACATTGTACTTGTCTTTTAACTCAACTTCTTTCCTCAGCTATAGGGTGAAAATATGCCTTCTAACTGGGGTATGGAAGAGGCTCAATGATTGTTTGTAAAGCACTTGGGAGTTCTGAAGGCCAGCAATCTGCTGAATGCAATAGGGAGAGTTTGTTGGAGCATTATTTTTCTAGGTGAGGATGAGTCTGTTTTGATTGATTACAAAGGGGACAAAGGTTGAGAGAAGCTTAAGTCTTCGAGGTGGAGTGTTTGGGGTTTTACTGATGTAGACCTACACGTACCTGCCCCACTCATTTTACCTTTCTGAGATTGGGGCCGGAGGCTGGCTGTGGCAGTAGGTGGCTCTGATATTTTATGATTGCTTAATTCTCCAGTTGGGGTCAGATGATTCTGCTGTATGATGGTGGAGATGTGTTATTATTTACAACTCCTGCCTGTTTAATTCAGTGTGGTGGCCAGGCTGGTTTGTCTTGCTGTAATTAGGTACTTGGGACAATCTGGGCATCTGGAGAAGGGTGATAAGAATTCCTTATCTGGTCTGTGAAATACGGGAGAGTGCTTTCCTGAAGACTGAGCCCACATTATCGGCCACCATGTTTGAGTTCGAAAGTCGGGGCCTCTAAGAAATGACGGACTGCCTTTCTATACTTCACGGACTCCAGGGGGCTTACAGAATTCCACTGTGGTGCAGATAGGCAGCATGATCTACCAGTCTCATCTCCTGCCACTCCCACTCCATGCCAGTCACAAGGGCCTGCCTTCAGGGTCTCCAGTACCCTTGCTCCGCCCATCCCCAGGCCTTACTTAGCGCTTGCAGTCCTTCTGCACCACCGGCTCTACCCTCCATCCCTCTCTCACTTAGCTAAGGCCTCCTCACCCTTAAGATCTCCCCCTTAAACATCACTTTCTCCAGGAAGCATTCTCTAACCTTTCAGACTAACTTGGGTCACCCTAGTATATGTTCTCTTTCTTCTTATGCTTCTCCTTTGCGGCATTTATCACAATTATAATTAAATACTAATTGTATTATTAATTAAATAAGTTCCATGAGAGTAGAGACTGCCTTGTTCAGTGGTGTGTCCCCAGCTCCTAGCCTGGTGCCTGGCATAGAGAAGGTGCTCAATAGTAATTTACTGAAAGAATGAATGAGGCAGGCTATCCATATATGTCATTTAAAATTCATGTGGCCAGAGGATTTGGATTACTGCGAAAGTCTGCTATATCATTCAGGTTTGTGTGCCTTGCCACTTTATCTTCCCGAAGTCATGATTAAGGAATGAGTTACTGATGGCAGATTGACTTTGGGAATCCCTTTGCCCTGAATAACTAACTGGACACCTTCAAAGGGTACAGCTCTTTCCAACACTGGTGTTCATACCTCTAGTCACCTCTGGAATATGAGCATCTCCATGGTCTATAATGGTTTGGAACATAAAATGAAATGGTCTAAAAAGTTATTTTATTGTTTATCATAACTGACAGATGATAGGTTCTGGTTTCATTTCCCCGCTTCTCAGGGACATGGTGGAGGATGGCAGTCTAAGCGTCTCTAGCCTGACGTTTCTTTAAATTTGACGTGTGCTTTTCCTGACCTTCTTTTTAATGCCTAGTGCTTCCATAACCTTCCAAGCAGTAGACATTTTGAGGATGATCAAAGGACTTTGGGATTCCTGCAATGATATAGCTAGCAGGGCCTGTCAACAGCACCTAGAACAAACAACTGTCTTCATTTTGTAGATGATGAAATGAAGATGTTTAAATGACAGCCACCAGAGCAGGAGACCTCAGGATCTTACACTCTTCCTAGGGAGGAGCTGAGAACAGCCCAGCAGCCACTGCTGGCAAGTGATACGAAGACAGGGAGGAGGGGGAAAGTGCCAAACAAGAGGCGTCACACCACCAGCCGTTCAGAGCAGAGTCAGGCTGCAGAGCGTGGGCGAGCCTGCAAAGCCCTCCAGCCTCAGCTTCCCACCCTGAGTGGGGTAGTACCTGCCTCAGAGGGTTGTTGGGATCACATATATGTGGAGTGGTGCTTGACACCTAGTAAGTTTTCTGTACGTATTTTTTTGCTGTTTATTTTCTAATTATTTCCTTCCATCTTTTATTTCGACTTGGAGAGTTTTGTAGCAATATACCTGACAAACAAACAGCCAGCCAGAACTGAAAACCCTATTAGATTTTCACATAACCGTGACTGAGTCCCTGTGGTAGTTCGAGCATTTCAAAGTCTCTGCTCCTGATTGCTCTGCAGAATGTTTTCTCTGTGAACTTTTCAAGCACCACATTATAGCTTCTCTTAACATCACCGCTACCAGTAACTTACAGTGCTGATGCATTTGTTCCAGACTAAAGCTTAACTTTTAATAGTCTGTCTGTTAATTCTCTTTTCCACGTGTCTTCATAGGGGAGAGTTTTTAAAAGAGCCTTGTCTGTAAGTGCTTCTCGCCACCTAGTTACCAGAGGGGGTGGACGAGGTTCATTTCGGGTACAAAAGTCTCCTGTGAAAATGACTCTCCCTCTTACACCTGTAAGCTTTCCCGTCTCCTCCCAAGGAACAGAGTTCATTGAAGGCAGCCTTGTCAAAGGGGTGCCAAGAGGGTCTCCATGGCCACCTGAGCTACAGACTCTGCAGCTGAGAACAAGTGTGAGGGGGCACTAGGGACAGTGGGCAAAGCTCCTCCTGTCCCCGTTCTGCTCCCTTCCCCTCTCGGCCCCTGTTGACAAGCCTTTGTTGCTGCGGTAGCCAGTTATCACCTCCCCACCTGCCCTTCCCTTCTCTTAACTCACTGTTCTCACCTGAATGATCTATTATGGCCCCTCCCTTCTGTTAACCTGCACGTATTACCATTTCTCCTCTGTTTTTGGTTAAAGATGACTTGGCTTACCAATAGTGAGAAGGCCAGTTCAGAACCAGGGACCTACAAGCAAGACATGCAAAGTCTGGAAGTAAAGTTGAAAATGCCTTGCAGCGTAGACAGCCAAAAATGGAACATGGAGTCCTACACCCCGGGGCTGAGACCTGGTTCTGAGATTTACCAACCTGAGACCAAGGGCAATTCGCCCAAACTCCTGAATCTTCCTTCCATCATCACTGGTAGGTTGGGATAATATCTACACACCATGGTTATATTAGGATGAAACAGAGATTGTTGCATCCAACTAGAGGGACTGGGTAGGGCAATCTCACAAACCCACTTTTGTGGCTGTTTCCCTGTCCCCAGAGATGAGATCTCTGGCAAGTCTTATAATTCCTCTAGGACAGCTACTCTTAGATGGTTAAGTCCTGTGGTCACATTTAGCATAGGTCTCATTTCAGGAACTAGTAAGTCCAGTCTGGTGTAATAGCCAAAACTCTGAAATGCATTTAAAATTACATTTTCTCCCCTCTTCCCGCTTAGGCCTGATTTAGGCTGGAAGCCAAGTGCTTCTTGCCACCCTCCCGCCTCCTCCCACCTCTTGGCACCTCCCAGGGCTGAAGGAACAGAGGGCAGCGGGGGAGGCATAAGGGGAAGGAGAGGGCCTATTTGACGGCGCCTCTGAAATCCGCCCTTGGCTGCTTCTAGGCGTTGTCAGAGCCCGTCCCCCGGTGCCTGGGACAGCACCCTGCTGAGCTCTCCAGCCTCTCAGGGTGTTTTCAGGGCATCTCCAACAGCACACCCCCGACCTCTTCAGGCAGGAAACTAGCAGCTTAGAGCCCTTTTCTGAAGAACCAGGCCAGCATATGCCAACTAGAGGTGTTTGGTCTCTCATCACCCTCCCACCCCAGCCGCAAACAAAAGTAAGCACTTTGGGCCTGCTACCTATGCAGGTGTAGTGACCTCCCAGTGCATCCTCCACTCTGGTGGAGGACTGGAGGTTTCTCAGACATAAATCGGTTTCCAGCCCCCTCTGTGACCCCTAAGCTTGCAGAGTCACAAAGCAGGTTTTCTT